TTGGAAGACCAAACAAAGTAGTTTCACTTTCACAACAAAACACAGTGTCACACACGGCGGGCTAGAGTGAGCAGAGGCGGCGGATTCGACGAAGGAGCGTCCGGAGGGCTTGCGGCAACCACATGTGAGAACCCCGGGCTGGACTCTGCTTCGTCCACGGAGAAAGCCGATCAGATCCACAGCGTGAAGTTGATGTATTTCCTCAGCGACCAGCACGGATCAGCTCCAGGCGTGACGAAGCGGATATCGTCCTCTTTTGGAAGACCACACAAAGTAGTTTCGCTTTCACAACGAAGCACAGCGTCTTCACGACGTGGCTGCAGCGGCAACAATACTACAGCGAGAATAAAAGTTACGCCGCCTTTCTTTGCGTGAACATTTGGGCGGCGTTATGCAAATCCTACATCGTGACGTAGATATGTGGGGCCGTGTTAGAACCAGCCGTTTTAGGTAGGCGTGGCTGACTCTGAACTTTTATAAAGAATATCTCTTTGGATTTGAGACTTTAGTCTTTGCAACTTTACAGATCTTCTTTATGCACCAAGAGCTTGTAACACTCCAAAGAGAAAGAGAAAGGAAAAATTTAAATCGCATCATATGACCCCTCTAAGATTAGTAATTTAATTTTAATTGTCATTACTGGTGATGATTATGGGCAGAGTTGCTACTTTTTTGCTTGTTTGAACTGAGGCCTTAGCTAAATTGATTTTATGTTTATTTTATGTTCACGCAAGTCCATTTGGCTAATACAAGTTTGGATTTAGAGCTCAGAGACTGCAAAGTTAATCACTGTTAGCTGGTTATTGTTATTAATATACTGACTCCAGATTATCCACACACTGAATTATTAATATTTAGGTTTTTGCTTACAATAAAGTATCACGAACAATGTTATTATTTTTTTGTCCTGGTTGTTTTCTGGGCATGTAAATGTGAGAACAGTAAATCCAATTAGTTGAACTGTATGATATAAGTAATAATTACCTGTTTACTGCCACCAAAACTATGGAAATTGACAAGCTGTTACAAAAGAGAAATACAAGTTTCTCTAATGAAATTAAGCAATAAAGTAGCATACGATGGTCTATGCATTTTTTATTTTCGATTTTCATGTCAAAGTTTATTGAAACAAAGTTTGACCATCATGCGGCAAAAATAGCTCAAATATGAGCTGAATGTGACGTCTTGTTTCGGAGTTTTTACACACACACACACACACACACACACACACGTGTGTGTGTGTGTGTGTGTGTGTGTTTCTCCTACTTACCTTCAACTAACCGTAAGGAGCAACTCGAAGGCTTGTTTATTGACACTTTTCAAATATCAGAACGGCCTTTGTCTTACTAACATTTGCAAGTTAAGTATTTTTGTTTAAATCTACTAATAAAAAAAAAAAAAAAAAACCCCGCCTGTAATCGCACAATCCTGGCAGAGCCGTTGAAAAGGCTCTGAATCCTGATTGGTCCATTCTGATCAGCGCTGGAAAGAGTAACAGGTACCACGTGACAACATCCTATCATCTGTAATGGGTGCTTTCACTGAAGACCGTTGACACACAAAGACCAAAATCTATCAAAAAAGACTAATATATATGTCTAAAAGGCCACACATGTTGAGTAGATTTGAGATTTTAGGAGAGGTGAATATTTAGGCATTTAAGTTTTTTATTCCCCCCCCCCAGTGGTGTTATATGGTATGGAAAAAAATATAGAAAAAGCATATATATATTTTCTTAATTTCCTTTTGCAGAGATGAATAATAAAAAGATGAGAAATATGAGCTGCTGACATATAACACTAAAAAACGTACATCACAAGAAAAAATAGAAAAGTATTAATTTGGACCCGTCGCACCTGACCAGGCCGCTAAGCCCCGCCCATTTCAGGGCGTGTCATACGTCACCTCATGATTGCGGAAGTGGCAGGATTATTGCAACGTGAATTTGGTGTAAGACAAATTTCACTGAGAAGTTGAATGAGTTTTACTTGAAACCAGTCAGTCCGCGATGGCAGCTCTTAAATACGCCGGAATGGATGATACAGACAGTGAAGACGAGCTTCCTCCCGGCTGGGAAGAGAGGTCCACTAAAGACGGATGGGTTTATTATGCCAAGTGAGTGTTTGACACACAACACACACACGTTTGAGATAAACATGTGCATTTACACTTTTCATTTCTGCTATTAATGCCAGAAATGGGAGTGTATAGCAACCCAAGCGTGTTTCTGATGTGATTTATAGAATGGTTGACACATGACATTAGCAATCAAATATCATAATTCATTTCAGCCACGAGGAAATGAAGACTCAATGGGAGCATCCCAAAACTGGGAAGAAGAAACGCTGTGCTGGAGGTAAGATGAATATTCAGCCATCAATCACATTTAAATATTGATCTCAATATGATTAAGAAACATGAATGAAGTGTGCAGAGCTTTGTCAGGAGATTGACCTGTTTTGATAAGCAGTGATGAAGAATAACTAAACGATTAAGTAAATCGCAGAATGTATTTTATTTTAATAATTTTTTAGCTTTGCCATATGGATGGGAGCAGGAGACCGATGATAAAGGCCAAGTCTTCTATGTTGAGTGAGTTCAGTGAATATGATTTTCTTCTCATAATTTCACTTTATGGACTGTGTTTGAAGGAAGTATATTTTGCTGCAATGAATAATACAATATATTATAGTTTCCCTTAAATCATAATGTGAGCTTTTAATATATGTCTCCTAGCTTTTAGGCTAATTAATAATTAATTTAAATGTCAAAATAAATAATAAATTTAATACATTTTGACAAAACAAAAAATTAGCAGATATGCACATTAAATATTTGCAATATTTTCTTCCTGGAAAATGATTCTTGTACACAAGCAGATACATGCAGAGATATTACAATGATAAATACTGTGATAAATTAATTAACCAGCAAATAAAATAAATTGTTTTAAAACTTAGTTATTATATTATATTATATTGTAGTAATAGAATATATGATACAGTGTGTAGTATTTTGTCAGGAAAAAGGATAGGATCATAAATAATGAGCAAATTGAGATCATTAATAATTAATATGCTAATTCAGTAGTCTGGACCACACCTATTTAATAATAATAATACTAAATATAGCTGCAAGGAGCCACACGGGGCCACATTTCAAGTGTTCCATGAGTTCAATAAGTAGCTAAAAAAATCAAGGAATCAAAATGACACATTACGCACAATTTGTCCTCTGGGACATACGGTCAGTGATACCTTCCAATTTTTGTGCCGATATGTCAAAACGATATTTCACAGATTCGGCATGACCCAAGGAATGCATAGACCCCAAGATCACGATTTTCTGACTAACTGTTCTAAAGTTATAAGCAAAAATGTCTATTTTTGATATCTCATGATCCATAGGTGGCGCTGTTCCCAACTTTGGCATGGACCCTCAGATCATGGTGTTGATGTAGCATACCGAGTTTCATTTCAATTGATCAAAGTTTGGCCGAGATACAGCCTCTGAACTAATTTTAGGTCAACTTCCAGAAGTTTGTGACATCATAACTTTTGAACGAAAATGAATATAAAAAATCTGTTCAATCATTTCTGTGCCGCTCCGAAGATCATCTGAGCCAATTTTCGTGGAGTCTTAAAGTAAGCTATTGAATGTGATCAGCATGAGGAGAATCACGTGTACTAAGTGTCATATTTCTAGATCAAAGGGTTCAAAAGCTATAACCATTTGAAAAGTGAATTTTTGATCTGGTGGTGGCGCTATAGAGTTGGTCCTAGGGACCCCAAATTTGGTCAGGTCACTATTTATGGCAGTCACTATAAGTGTGCCAAATTTCATAATTTTCCTACTTACGGTTCATAGGGCTGCCATAGACTCCCAGTGGGGAGGAATAATAATAAGAAGAAAACCAACGGAAACAATAGGGGCTACAGCCCCTAACTACTACTAATAATAAAAATAATAATAAAACTTAAATAGAAGTTAAAATAGAAAACTTTATTCAGATCCGTCACACCTGGGCAATTAGAGACATTCAGGTCTCATTTAGGAATGCTGTGTCCGTTTTATTATAATATTGTATTATATATATATATATATACATACATACACACACACACACACATATATATTATATTTTAATATAAAAAAAAGAATGTGTGTTATGGCTTCTCTGCTGTTCAGCTCTTCTGGTTTGTAATGTTTCTCTATTCTCTTCTTCTCATCAGCCACATCAACAAACGCACAACATATTTTGACCCTCGGCAGGCCTTCACCGTAGAGGACATGCAGGTGAAACCCAAGCGCTATGATGGGAACACCACGGCTCTGGAGATCCTGCAGGACTGTGACCTGTCTGATAAGGTGGTGGTGATTACCGGAGCAAACTCTGGCATCGGTGAGTCCCAGAACTCAATCAGAGCTCACCACACGCCTGCTGCATCTGCCATTATTATTACTGACCTACAGTAAAGGCAGCGTCATAGCGCTTAGTAAGCTACTCTACATGATAATCACCCCTTTTTTTAAATGTTTTTGTTTTGTTTTATAATCAAAGACAGTTTGAGCATAATCAGTTGGGTTCCGCTGCAGGCGCTGCATTGCAGTGTGTGTCCAGTAGGTGGCACTACAGTATTTATGTGTTCTCACTGAAACATCAGTCAACATTAGCATTTAAATGATTAGATGTTGATGTCTTAAAAATAAATGTGAATCTAAATACTTTATAATTCTTCGTAAATGCTTTAGACTGATTACTCTGATTTGAAAGGCAATCTAAAGAATTATCAGGCTCTTATTAAAGACACTTGGCGATACTGATTTAAAGACAAATAATAATCCAACACCACTACGATAAAGGTTCCTCACATCTATGCAAATACAGCCTTCAGCCAACAAACAGAAGCACATATTTCAGTGTTTATGAGATGAAGTGCTGTTTTCTTTGGAGGATTTGAAGTTGTCACTGTTTCTGATTCTGAAGGGTTTTATGCATAGTGTACACTACCGTTCAAAATAAATGCTTTTATTCAGTTAGGATGCATTAAGTGACATTAAAGACATTTATGTTACAAAAGACAACTGAATGCTATTTCAGCATTTCAAGTGTTTTTAGCTTTCTGTTCATAAGAAATAGAACTGTTTTCAACATTGCTAATAATAAGAACCATTATTAATAATTGAGCACCAATAATAATTGATAATTGAGCAGCCAATCAGCATATTAGAATGATTTCTGAAGATCATGTGACTCTGAAGACTGGAGTAATGATGCTGAGAATTCAGCTTTGATCACAGGAATAGATTAGATTTGAACATATATTCACATAGAAAACAGTTCTTTTACATGGTAACAGTCAGTGTTGTTTTAGTATTATTTATATACTTTTATACTTTTTTTTTTTTTTTTTATATAAATGTTTTATTTATTAGTAATTTTAATACTTTTTCAATTAGTTGCCAAGGCAAAATTTCTTTTTATTTGTTTTTTTTTTCATCTTATATTTTGAATAGTTCTATATTTATTTAACAATAACAACACTAGTGGTAATATTTCACAATATTACTGTTTTACTGTATTTTTGGTCAAATAAATGCAGCCTGGTTAAGCATAATAGACTTCTTTCAAAAACACTTCAAAATCTAATCGATTTTTCAGAGAAAAAGAGAAGTTAGACAAAAAAGAATATGAAAAACTGATGAATAATGTAGTTTTAATTTAATTCTGAGCCGTTCATATTCACATTTTTGAGTATTGAGATTAATGTCATCTTAATCTACAACCATGAAGTTATTAAATATTGTTATCAAAATACTTCTGAGTTTTGACTGCATTGTTAACCATTGTTACCATTGCTTAAAGTGCATGTAAAATATAAATATGAAATACATAATATTAAAATATATTGCATAATCAAATTATTTATTATAATTAAAGAACAGTTAATTATTACAAATACTTAAATGCATCTTCCGATTAATTGTGAGGGATTGTAGTGTCACGTGATTGAACACTAGAGGGCAGGGAAGCTCTGTGTGTCGCTCATGAATCACGCTTGCAGGAATCCAGCCACATTCAAGCATTCCTTCACAATACCAAAGATAATAAGAAAGAGACAGACGGTTTTATTATATTGCTGAAAAGAGTAATGCTACATAATAATCATTGTATTGTATGACACATATTAGATCATTTGATCAATACATTACAATTAGTTCACATATTTTAAATGTTAGAGGGGGGGGGTCACATTTGCAAATATACATTTTATAAAATTATATTATATTCATATTTTATTATATGTTATTTTTATATATTTTTCATTTATTTTATTGAATTTGTTTTACGTAATTGTAGGTATTTTAACCCTAATAGCCTCTTCTTGTTGAATATCTGTGGATTATTTATGTTCGCTTGCACAAAAATGTCTGTGACGCAAATTTACAAGGGTTTTATTGCACACTATAGTTCTGTAAGTTCTTAAATACTATAGATTTATTAGCATATTTAACAGCATATCACCAAACAATAGCTGTACATGCAAGACACTTGTTCCATGTATTTGTTCTAATATTTTCAATCATATTAATTAGAGGTTTTATTTATTGTAATAATTGTTTTGACGTTTACATTTGAAACCATGACACACTTTACTGTTTAAATAGCCGTGGCAGTAATATATGTCTAATAAACAAACCCCGTTATGTGGTAATTAGAGTAGGAGGTGTTATAATGCTTTTATTAGACTGATACTCGTGCTGGATTTCATTAGACTGTCCAAGCAGAAACACGCTCGCAATC